CCTACATTTTACCGAAAAGAAAGAAGCAATTCACAAAAGGCCGTCCCATAGTGGCGTTCATCGACACCATGGGCAGGAAATTGTGGGAAGCCTTAGCGGACGTACTGCAGCTGATGACTTTTCAAGCATGCCCAAACTCCTTTCACCAAGGAGATGGCATAACACAGCTCAAACAAACAGCACTCTTCCTGCATCAACGCAGGAAATCACACGATTCAACAGATTACATCCTTTACAACCAGGATTTGGCTGGCTTCTTCACATCGGTCGATCAGAGCCGGTTTCTTTCAGCATACAGCATTATGGTTCGATGGTACAGAGAAAAGACCCCCCTACACTCTTCCAAATTCTTCATTGACCACTCACAGAAAGACCCCACACATCGAGTCCACAGGGGCAAAAGCAGACAAAAGAAGCAAGAAGCCTCCTCAGGCAACAAACTATGCATTCAATTACAACATATACCACAACTTATCATTGCAGTGCTCCGACTCAACTACTTCACTGTTGGTACTTCACTTATTGAGCAATTTCGCGGTGCACCTATGGGCTCGCCCTGCAGCCCAGCCTTATGCAACATTGTTGTTGCGGTCGAGGAACAGTGTTGGCACCACACATACAAACAGCTTTTCACGAACCACAAGCATTTTCCAGATCACAACAAGCAGGATCAAGCTTTCTTTTTTGCTACTAGATACGTCGACAACCGCGTCCTTCTTTTACCTGCACAGCTGACCCGACTGCCTCCTTTTGCACAGCTCACTGATGCATCTTTTTACAAACCACCGGTTCAGCTTGAAACTGACCCGGCCAACATTTTCCTGGGCTTCGCAATAAGCCCTCAGCACAGCAGCCTCACGCATCAATGCACTTTGCACAAGGCGGACATTTTGCACCCACAGTCAGCCACCTCTGTTTCAACACTTCGCAGCAGTTTTCAGGCCCGCACACGCATGGTACGCAGAGTGACAACACCATGCAGCGAGGCCACATTGGCCATTCGAGCCATGCGCGATCTCTACATCGCGGCCGGCTATACTGATCAACAGCTGTAAGCAAAACATTGTGCCAGTTTGCCGTGCGTGGATCCAGAGCCGTGCAATTCTTGCAATATGAGAGCAGCCATGTATTAACACAGTGTTTCCTGCAGCCATTTTCAGCGTTAACTGAGGCACCATCATGTATAAAAGTGCCATGACTGGCAGATTGCAGCCGAGCCACAAAGCGCTGAGCGGCCGTCCTCGACCATCCATTTCCAAGCACAGCCGACGCCGCAACGAGCAACCTGCGGTGGGCAGCCACAACCCACAGCCGGCGCTTTTGCGCTCTCAGTTTCTACGGGTTGCAGAAGACGAAGACTTTCAAGACTACCAAGAGCAACACCAAGATCCGGAAGAACAGCAGGATGCAGCAGTGGCTGCACCGGCGACTCCGCCATTTCCACCTCCGCAACACCCTGAGCCAGATTCATCGGCTGAGATTATGGCAGCAATTACGCAGTTTCACAATTCGTTGCTTGAGTCGAATGCTAAACTCGAGCGCCTGATACAACAGGCTACAACGGTGTTGACTACTCAGCACGAGGCTACCACGGCGATCCTTTCCTCGTGCAAACAGCAGCTCGACGTACTTGAAAGCCTCATCAGGCAAAACGCGCCTGATTGGTCGTGAATTTGCTACTAAGGCAAGCCGGTATAAAAAGTGCCAGGTAGTGCATAAGTCTCACTACTCAACACATGTTGCTTTCAGACAATACCATAATTCTGCCTTCTGAAGTTTTGCCTCACAGTGACGCCTATTCGAATCCCGACATCGAGCCATGAGCGACTCACCTCTTCCGCCAAATACAGTGACTACAGATTCGCCACCTGTCGATGAGGCACGACGTGAAGCTCTCTCCGCAGCCCTCATGGAGATTTTGACACAGCATCGGGATTATGAGTCCGAAACCGGAAGTGAACCTTCCACATTCAGTGACGAGGCTCTACGCGACCAATTAGCCGAGTTTATTCTGCAAACAACCCGGCAGATTACAGAGCTAAAGCAACGAGTGGAAAGACTCGAAGCTTCGCAACAATAGGTGATCAAACATGATTTATACCACCATTGGGTGATTGCAGCAGACGGTGAAAACAACAATCGTTGTTTTTTGCCAAGTGAGACAGCCAGTGCACTTTCTTCACATGTGCTTGTATGCAGCGATTGATACACTCTTTCCCGCAGCATTTTGCAAAACAACCAGTTGTGTTAGCACCATGGACCGCCGCACCAGATCACGATCTCCCACGGCATCACAATGGAGATGGCACTGGGCCACTAACGGCTCTTCATGGTGGCGTGAGTACTTCATCGCATCTGCAGAGTGGATACGAAAGCATTCGGAGCAACCTGATCAGCTCCCGACTTCAACGACTCCTACCCAAAAGGAGCCAGCTTCCACTACTTCAACTCCTACATCCAACAAGAGAAAGCGATCAAGAACTCCGTGAGCAGCATCGCTGAGTTGACAATTAGATGCATACTTGCTGCCCCCGGCAGCCAACAACCACACAGCAAAGCTGTGATGTGAACCCCATCATCCCTGATGAGGGCCAGCATTAAGAGCACCATGGTGAAAGATCATGCCAGCCGGTGAGGTTGCTCAAGTGACGTTTATTTGTATTTCCCTCTCTCTCTTTTCCGACGATCAGCGCATGCGCATGCTTCAATGCAGTTGTGACTCCGCAGCCATTTCTCAGAACTACAGTTGTTGTAACATATTTAGGATCGCACACATATGGACGAAGACGACGACAGCAGCCTATGGGGATCCGAAGAGATTGATGATTTTCTGAGGAAGGATGACACCGCCACATCCTCCCATGCAGTCAGTCACACACACAAGCAAAAAACAAAGCACACAACGAAGACAAAAAAGAAGAAAGACAACAAAGACAAAAAGGACAAAACAGTCGTGAAAACAAAGAAAACACGCAACATCTCACCAGCATCCCAATCCACAACACAGCAACAACGCCAACATCCACATACTACAAGACGAAAGAGGACACGCTCTTCGCACTCAACATCATCAGCGTCACCTACGGCAACGTCACACATGGCTGAGGACGCAAACCGATCTCCATCGCGAGATCCTTGGTCTTCTGACTCGATTGCACCTTACGATATTGTGCATCCTATTATTCAGCATAAGCGGTCCAAAACCGCTTGTGCAAAATGCTGGTACGTGCAGGTTTCAGATGTAGATGCCATTTCAAGATCATGAGTGACTGTCCCAACAAACTCGCTGTTGGATCCTAATACTCAGGACGGATTAGGGCTGCAAGATCCGCTAAGCGTGACAAAAAGCCTGCGCATGCGAGTGTCAGCACGACACCACTTGGTTGTTTCTCCTGAGCACACAGCATGTCCATGTTGTTTTGCATTCCTTGTTCAAGCGTTTGTCGGTTGGTAGCAGCAAAACATGACAAAGCGAAAGGCTGCTGAGGCCGGCCTTCCATGGTACTCCATGGCAGGACAATGTTTTCGGATGACTGTTGAAATTCCACCCGACCGCATCACCAGAGACAAGCACATGCTCTTACATGTGGTGCTTTGTCTGGGTGACAACGTTCTACAAGCTCGCAAGATCTTCTCCTACCGCATCAAGGAGATCACCGGCAGAACTCCTAAAATCCCAGCTTTCTTCTTCGAACAAAACCGTCGACGACTACATGATTGGGATTCAGTCACCACATTAGCCACGTTGAAGCCGGTGCTTTTTGTTAGAACCTGTTCGGATCAGGAAACACGACAATCACCCGACCGCTAGTGACAGCGAGAAAAGTGCGCCAATCACTCTTTTTTGCCATGGATCAGACATTTCACTCTACTTGAAGCATACACGCCCCATTGGGGCTGTGTGTGTGTGAACCTCCCTAGTACATGGGAGCAGAGGGTCACTCCTACACTGCTTGCAATTTTGCTTTGCAACTCAATCAGACATTTGACATTTAACGATTCAAATGTTGCAGGGGGCCAGCGCATGGTGTTGTGACGCTGGCCAACGAAGCTAGCAACACCATGGGAAGAGGTTTGGGACGCCAAACCTTGTACCTGCACAAAATTGAGCTGGGGCCCCTGTGCCAGCCCGATTAGAAGGCCCCTGTGCCAAGATTAGAGAGTTTTCAGTTTCCACTTTTGGCGGTTGATTCGACAACAAACAAGTTGTACTGTTTGCCACAAATCTGACAAGCTTTTGCACATGAACAACAATGCCTCTCTTTTTCCTCTTGGCCTCTTACCTTCTTGGCCGAAGTGTCCATCTGTGGTGTGTGTGTGTGGTGTGTGTGTGTGGGTGTGTGTGTGTGTTGTGTGTGTGGGTGTGTGTGGTGTGTGTTGTGTGTGTGTGTGTGTGTGTGTGTGTGTGTGTGTGTGTGTGTGTGTGTGTGTGTGTGTGTGTGTGGTGTGTTGTGTGTGTGTGTGTGGGTGTGTTGGTGTGTTGGGTGTGTGTGTTGTGTTGTGTGTGTGTGTGTTGTGTGTGTGTGTGGTGTGGGGTGTGTGTGTGTGTGTGGTGTGTGTGTGTGGGGTGTGTGTGTGGTGTGTGTGTGTTGGGTGTTGTGTGTGGGTGGGGGGGGGGGGGTACTGTTCTGGTGTACCAAGAAACGCCATGAAACCACACCCCGACTGCGGGCCCCTGTTGGAAACTTGCATGGATCGGTGTCCTTGGTCCGCTCTCGCACCCAGATGTAATCGACTTTTCCTGGCATCTGTGTCAAGGGAGTTCCCGGGACCATGTACCATCCTTAACCTCCACCCCTGCAAAGAAGCGAGAATGGCAAAGGATCTCTCTCACGTGCCACAAACAAGGAATCCAGCCTTTGCCAGACGATTGGCCTTCGTCCTGATGGACTTTCAGAAACTTCAGAGGCTGACATGAGCTGCATCGAACCTGCTGTCATATGACAAGGACGTCCCGCGGCTTTGCCAAAAGCCCTGTTGATCTCTGCTGTGCTGTGTGTTCAGGCTTGCACGTCTCGCAAGCTTCGGCTCAGAGGCATCATGGACCCTGATATTACGAGCGTGAAGATTTTGATCTTGTGGGTGGAAAGTTGAAGGCAGTAGGGGGCCTGCTTGTTCGGCGGGCGCGAGAGTTGAGGCAAGTCCGCGCCGCGTGGCAGCGTGCTGTAGTGCCTCTCAGGTCCAGCGGTATTGCCAGCACCAGATGCCGTCTGTGCAAGTGTCGGGCGAGAAACGAGGCTTTGACGGACAGCTTAATTATCTAATAATGGCACTCGAACGACAGTCTCGAGTCTCCAGCCATAGTCATATCAGGTTCCCGTGCTCAGCCCCGTGCCTTTCCTTGTGTCCAAATGGACATCGAATAATACCTGCAAGGTGATCGCGAGTCGAGAGGTGACATATGACCATCAGAGCGCCGAAGAGCAGGTGTGCCTTCACTTCGCCCCTGTTCTGCAAAATCCTCGTTGAAATCTGCCTGAGTGCAAGATGCATGAGTCTCGTCCCGGCAACGTACATGCGCAGAGAGGTAGTTCAACCGACATTCGGGCGGCATCTCGTGGTTTCCATACTGTACGTGGTTCAACCCACTGGGATGATGGGTTGTCTATGGAAAAGTCTGATTCTGCCATGTCCTGTTCCTGTTGGACAAGAAATCGAAAAGCCATCAACCCCCGTCCAGGCCGGATGCTGTGAGGATCTCTACATCGGCGGAGCTCTCCTGCAGCGGCGAATGGCTTCAAGCCACAATCTCAATACCCACCTAACTACCCATCCCCAAACAGGGTCAAGCCCGCCCTCGCATCAAGGAAACGATCATTGATAACCGTGCGAAGAACGCTAGCCGCAGAGCGGTTCTGCGTGAGGATCTGTCCCTCAACAATGCCTGAACACCTGAAGCAGCTCGGACTGGCGACACTGAGAGGGCTACACCCTGAGCCATCCGATGTTGTCCCAGATCAAGCCATTTTCCAGCTCATCTCTGCATCCCTTGACATCCCACGATATTCCTGTGCATTCAACTTCGAGGGAACGTGACAGAGTTGAAACCCAGCAGTCCGCGGAAGCAAACTCTGCGAAGGCTTGGAGCTGCGCAGGACGACCCCCTGACCGGGCTCGTGAAGCGCTTCGGCAGTTCGGCAGCCTTCGCTTAACCCCTTTGCTGGCTTTCAGATCCCGAAGCGGACGCGCCTTTCATGTGCCCGGTGACGACGCGAATCTTTGCCCCACACTGGTGTTCCAAGTCAACGCCTGCTCGTCCCACAAACGACCCCACGGCCCCACGAGGTGGTAGCTGCGCTGTAAGCTGATGTCATCAGAAGCACTGCGATTCCGAGGAGCACATGTCTTAGAATCCCTGAAGAAGGAAGCGGAAGCTTCGGCTCTTGCTCCGGCCTCCCAGCGCGAAGCCTCACAGACTCACTTCTGGGCTTGTCTCGATCATATGCCGAAACTGTACCGCTTGCCCAACATGCTGGAAACCAATACCACCGACAAATCAATAAGCACAAGGACAACACTGAGGCCGTCTGGCCCACGATTGGAACCGCACTGTCTTCAGCCCGGAGGGAGCCGGGGGCTTAGAGGGCCTGGCCTTGATCTTCGCCAAGGATCCACTCCGGAGAGGTTTTGAAGGCGCCGCTCTTCACGGCGATCAGCAAACCTCGCCAGTCGAACTCGGCTGCGCGCACTCCCTCACACCGTCTCAAATTGTGCCAGCTCCAGTGACCGTCGGGCGGTCTCCGGGAGTGCTTGAAGTACTTCGCCCGGTATCCGCTCCCCAGATCCTCAAGTGCTTCTGAATCTACACTTTATCATCAGAGGGGTTGAGGGACAAAGATTTCTGGATCTGCCCGACCGTGTTGACGTGTCAACAGCTCCCAGATTCTGTGCCTGAAGGAAATGTAATGCATCTGAGACGCAGCCATTATCCTGTCGGGTTGCAAAGAAGGGCAACTTCGAATTCGGTTTTGCACCAAGCCAAATCGCGATACCGTAAAGTACACTCATCGGCAAAAGCTTGCCCTGTGTGTGGACAAGGCTCGAGTCCAGCTCGGTATTTTCTACTTCTTGCAAGCAGAGAACCTCAGAGCGATGCAGTCGGTTTTGGTGTTGAGTTTTGAGGCCTTGTCACTGCCAACCCAGCCGAGATGCATCAAACTGTCCTCGCTGCAGAATGTCCTTGGTTTTGTGGCGTATGACTTGTCACGGAACTGGGAATCCCGGCTCCGACGTTTGGTGGGCCTGTTGGCCCAGTCCCGTGATGCTCCAGCGGAATTAGATACCAGAAGCTGAACTTTTTTCTTTTCAGACTACGTCATTGGGGATGCTGCTTTGAGCCTCAGCACACGCTTGACATCTCCAGTTGTAAACAATGCCGATTGGCCACTGACACTGTCCCAAGAAAATGAGATGTGTGATGCTCGTGCCACAACTAGGGACGGGCCGCAGCCCACCGAACTAGAATACCTAGAAAAACACAGCCCCTAACCCTGCTTTGCATCTCCAGGCCCCGGTATTTGTACGATGGATGGGTCTGGGACTATACGATGGAGAAGGGCGGGGTAGCGGGGGGTCCAGGCGTGCAACATAGGACCGCCAACTTTCCCGGAACAATTCACGCACAACTTACTGCGCACATTAGGACCCCGGTAAGGGAGACTTTCATGCCACTTTACGTCTTGGACTTTGACAAATTCCGGCAGTGAGGAGCCCAAACGCGATCGGAATCTTCAAGGACACAGTCTCTCTGTAGAGGGGAGCCCCGTCTCCTAGAGTTTTTTGAGCGGGCCTTGAGTCCTTTACGGAAATGCGAAGGGGCTGAAGATGATGCCTTCGGCCCCTAAGCTCTTGGGCATTTGGCTTAAGGAAGCATTTTGCGGAGGTCCCTTTTAAAAATCTGCGATGGAAGGGGGGTCCCTGTACGTTTCTGGCAGATATTATGTAATACTGCGCATGCGGCCGCATCGTACATTGCTTAGCACGGGGGGCTCTGGGGACGGGCCCTGAGCTTCTAAGGGAAGAACCTGAGCTCTGCAGACAAGCTTCTCGCATCACTGGCCAGCGCACCGGCCTGACTGTCGGGAAGTGCGAGAGTCCCAAGTGTTCCTTCTTGCCCGGCTTCAGACGAGCCCAGTGACTCGCTAGGCTAGCTGGTACAAGTCCGGTGGAATCTCGAGACAGTGCAGAAGCGGCAGTTTGGAATGACTTGCACAAAATACTTCGTGGTCGTTCAAAGACTGAGACATCAACGACAGAGAGCCGAACGGGACTGAACCGAGCGCCACACCAATTCGAGCTACCGTCCGCTGCCATGCCTTGCTGCTCCTGATGCATGATGCCAAAGTCTTGGCAGAAGACCACGTTTAAACTCTGGATGGCAGAATCTCATGCACTGCAAGACGAGCAGAGTTTGTAATCTTGCGCCGAAGGGTGCGAAGCCTGTTGCCAAAAATGTTCCATGCGGTATACCACGGTACCGTCACGGCCGATTGCGCACAAGCGAGACAAGGATCCCACAGACTCACTGACTGAGCAGTGCCAAATGCCCATTACATTGACACAATTGTAATTGGTTGTTGCGCGAAAAAGTCGCTCATGTTCAAGTCACGAGATTCACGGCTGTCCTTCCACTTGACAGCATACGTTGGGCAGAGCCTTTCGAAAAGAAGCCATCAAGAGTGGGTCAGCCGGAGTGAAGGATTTCTGAGCGTCTGAAGAAGACAGAAACACTTCTGGGGCCCAGACAGATTGTATGTACCTGACTGCGAAAGAACTTGACTGGAACTTTCGCCTGTAGATTACAGATGTGTTGTGTCTCAATTTGCAGTCGCCCTGATGCCATGCAAAGTGGCTTTGTCCTGATCTTCCAGGATGGGAACTGCAAGTGCAGTGGCATTTAATGAGCCCCAGCGGCATATCGAAAATGTGGGAGCTTGCTGTTCGCACTGGACTCGGTACCTGCACACGATGCGATTGCGATTATTTTCCGTGGAGACTGCATGTGCTTGAACAATCAGGTTATGTCATGCCATGCCATCAGAGTCCAATCTTGTAAAGAAAGGTGTGGAGAGCAATCACTCTACCTGCAATTCCGAAAGCCACCTCAGGCCCAACCAGCAGCCGCAACCCGCAAAGGCGAAAGGAACGGCCCTACCTCTGGTTGATGCTCAGTCGATGGCTTTGAACCGCTCGCAACATGTCAGCAGACCCGTGACGCGATGCCGAAAATACAAGCTGACCGTATGCATGATTTGCAATCGACTGCAATCGCTAAGCCATGCTAAGCTGGCCCACCAGCACGGCGAGCCCACATCGGCCGACTGCCTCAGAGATGGGTGCATCCTCACAATTGCTCAACAACCGCTCCTCGCAAGCAATGACTTGGTTTCTCGCCGACACTCGGTGTCCCAAACCACCTTTGGGCCCCTGGAGCTTGATGGCTGCGAAAGTGGCGTGACGTGAAC